ATTTATTTATTTATTTATTTATTTATTTATTTATTTATTTATTTATTTAATCAGGACAGTGCACATTAATGAACAATCTTACACTTCTGCACAGATTGTAAATGAGCCAGATTCTAGCATAGTTGCTAATTTGCATCCGCCAAAACAACAAAACAACACAAAATCACAAAATACAACATCAGTTAAAACAGAGAGACACACCTTATTGTTTATTTTCCATTTTCTAGATCTCCTGAATCTGAGGGCAGATATCAGGAAGTGTGTTGGCATGTCGGTTGCATGTTGTCACGCATATCCTGAGGAGGGAGGAAAAAAAGAGCGTGAGAAAGTGTGAGAGGTGGGTGTGTTCACAGGTGTGCCCTCCTTAATGTGCAGGTGTGTGTTCTGACGTGATAAAACCGTATAAAACCGAACCGTGATTAATCTGAGGCAGATCAGAGCGCTCAGTGTGTCAGAGAGCTGGTTCTGGTTTCTGGTTTCTGGTTTCTGCCTGTGGCTCCATCGGTTGTGAAGATGATGCTTCTGTGTTTGGGGATTTGTCTGGGACTCCTCACACCCGTCCATTCAGCACCTGTCGACAGTAAGTGGCCTTTTTTTCAAAATAAAATGTAAATGTAACATGATTTGAACATTTTTAATAGAAATCTTGGAATGACAGCTGAATATGCCCACATGTATTTTAAAAAGAAGAAAGCCACAGTGTGGTTTATTACTTGAAACTGCATATTTTAATAGTTTTAGGGTTATACAAATAGAGAGATTGCTTCTTAACACTATAATTTCAAATGTATCATTTTGATTCATACGGTTTCTGAAATGTTTAGCTTCCTTTTGCATAATTTAATGGTAAAAACTTTGCTCTAAATCCTATTGAACACAATCAGATACACCTGATAACAGGGGGCAGAAGATACACAAAACATAATCTTGACTTATCGCATAGTAATAAATTATTAATATTAAAAATGTATTTCTGTGTTTTCTTTTTACATATTTTGGTAAAAGGCCAAATGGGGAATTCAGACAAAAAAAGATTCATTTTCTGTTTTGTTTTATTCTTGGATCAGGCTTTAAAGGGTTAAACAAATCAAATAAAGCGTTGATGCAGATCTCTGAGGTTTCTGTCATTTCTAGATGCTGTGACTCTAAACATTCTCTATTTAAGCTCCTTCTGTAAGAGTTGTGTTTCTTTTTGGGGGCAGATCTCTCTGGAACCTCCAGATTACACACAGAGCTCTTTGTGAGGAGCTGAGCTCTGCTCCAGGAGGTGCATTAACGCTTTTATCTCAAACACGCTGAAACCAAAGATCAGCAAATAGCTGCTCCACCAGTTTAAAGCACCGGTAACTTCATAGGGGGGAAAACCTAATCTGAGCATGACTAAGCTCAAATACTGAGCAAACGTGGCCTTTGTC